TAGTAGAATTTTGGGTCAAGTGGCCTCTTTCTGTCCTTCCCTTCCCTGTGTCCTTCCAGTCTCCATGGAAACCCCAAATCAATGCGGCATATGTTGATTCATGTTTCTACTGTTACTAGGAAGCTACAAAGTGGAAATTGCTTTTAAAAGATTTGCGGAGAGCTTTAGCATGCTGACCAGAATTCGGGTCTAGTGTCCGAATGACTATTTTATCAAAAGCTCTTAACGTGGCACTATCCTGGGCGGCGTGTTGATTAAATAAACACACGGGGCATTTGGCAAGAAATCTCCTTCTCCACTATCGTGGCTTTTAAAAATATTACACTGCAGCCTTTAATTCCCTTCATCTTCAATGTCATTACATTTTTGTGCGATGATGCCAGGTGCTCCTTTTGCTCTTGACTAATTCCACCTTCCTCGGCTGGGCTGTTGGGAACGATGGCCTGCCAATGCCGAGCTGCTGCCCTTGAGTGTCATTAGCTCTAGGCTGGACTTCAGTCTTGACCTGGAGACTGCGGAAGTCTAATGTGTTTCTGCCTAAAGGAACTCTTCGTAATTTTTCAGATTTTTCATGAATGCAAAACCGAATTCAGCCGACATCTATTAAATACCTGCTCTGTGTGAGGCAATGGGAATTGATAGCGAGGGGCATAGTCCTGGAATCTGTCTTTGCGGAGCACGTAGTCATTTGGGAGGATCAGGAAACATAAGTCACAAGGATGAACTTCAGGCCGTGATGCGGGCTGTCAGGGAATCATAGCAGTGCCATGGCGTTGGGATGGAGAGGTTCCTTCTGATGGAGAAAGTTCTGGGAAAGCTTTGGAAAGGAGAATTTTTAGCTTGGAGGTGCTGGGTTTGGAGGAGGAGCTGGGAGTTATAAGGCAGATCCAGGGTGGGGACGGTCTGGGCAGAGGGAGCAGCTGAGGAATCGGGCGTGTGTGTGTGTGTGTGTGTGTGTGTGTGTGTGCGCGCGAGTCCGTGTGTTTGTGTGTACATGCATACACAATGGCATTGGATGGATAAATGGGGCAATAAGATTGGACTGTCAGATAGACAAGGAGCTGCAATGGAGCCCATCAAAGATTATGAGGATGACCTGGTATCTGTTCAGTGGGTAACTCGTGGTCGTGTATGTGCCAGAAGGCTTTGGGGGCTGATGAAATAGGCAGGAAAGTCAGTTACTTAGGAGGGTGGAAGGCCATGCACTGTGCTGTGTGCCCAATAACCTCTGACATGACAGTGTCCATGGATGGGAGGGGATGAAGTTGAGAAATAGTTCACAGATGTGATGATAAGGTTTCAAAACCAGCAAGGGGATATGGAGGAAAGGAAGCCAATACCTGTGCTTCTTACCCTGAAGAGCTAGGATGGAGCCCACAGGAATGGAGGGTTAGGAGAGAGAGGTGGTCACATCAGAGGCAGGGGTGTCTGCAGAGTCTGAGAGGGGAGGGCTGTCTAGCAGACCTCTGGGAAGTTGGTCTGGAGCTCAAGAGAGGCAGGATTGAAACCCTGATCCTGGAGAAAAGCAGTGGCCGGCGCCTGCGAGGTGTGGTTTCCCAGGAGGACAAGTGTAGACTGGGAAGAGCAGAGAGAGTCAGGGCGGCCTGAGAAGCCAGGGCAGGGCTTGTAATGGCTGTTTTCCTGGGGAAAACCATGCAGGTCAGCACCCAGGAAAGGATCTGGAGCTCTGGATTCCTGAGCAGGGCCCCCAGCCCGTGATGCAGAGTCCAAGTAGGCGAATGCCTTTCTCATTAGCACTCCAACCTGCTTGCCTTCTCTGTTTCTCTCCTTCAGGAGGAGAGACCATGCCAGAATGCTTACCCCTCGGTGCAGCTTAATTCCCCCCCAACCCCCGAATTCTCTATGCACCTGGCTCTGTAGGAAGGACGATTAAGGGAGAGTCCTCCCCTGAAAGGGGGCCGTACTTGGTCTGTGTTTCTCAAACTAGAGTGCAGTGTGGTTACTCCATGGTGTTTAGGAGTGTTTTGATAAAAAAAAAAAAAAAAGAGTTTGACCCAGGGGTGTGGCTTGGTGGTTGAGCGTTGACCTGTGAACCAGGAGGTCACGGTTCAATTCCAGTCAGGGCACATCCCGGGTTGCCGCCTCCATCCCCAGTGTGGGGCGTGCAGGAGGCAATCGATCAATGATTCTCTTTCATCATTGATGTTTTTCTCTCTCTCTCCATCCCTCTCCCTTCCTCTCTGAAATCAATAAAAATATTTGGGGGGGGGGGAAAGTTCGGACTAGTTTGAGTTTTCTCTTTTTACTCACGGCTGCTGCATGTCCACACACTACTGAACTTCTGCTCTTTATATTCCTGTTCTCCTTTACACTTTTATTAATTAACTTTATTAATTATTGTGTCTTTCCTTAAACATTTGGCTTGGCTTATTGATTTCCTGTGACTATTATTGCTCTAAGGCTAATTGAAGATTCTGGTGCCTGGTTAAGGTTGCTCAGCCTCTACTTGAGACTTGAGCCCACCTGCAGCCCTGACTTATCACCTTGGTGCCTTTCAATTCTGGATGCCAGAATGGGCAGCCTGAGACCTGAAGGTCCCACCAGTTTACACTCCTCATAGAAGAGAAGTCCCCTGATGTCACTACCTTTGTGTTAAAGCAGTGGTTCTCAACCTTCTGGCCCTTTAAATACAGTTCCTCATGTTGTGACCCAACCATAAAGTTATTTTCGTTGCTACTTCATAACTGTAATGTTGCTACTGTTATGAATCGTAATGTAAATATCTGATATGCAGGATGGTCTTAGGTGACCCCTGTGAAAGGGTCATTCGACCGCCAAAGGGGTCGAGACCCACAGGTTGAGAACCGCTGTGTTAAAGCAAGGGGCAGAGCTGAGGCTGGAAGCACGAAGTTTGGTATTAAATACCAGCTCTGCCACTTATAATGGCTTGTCTCTGTTTTTCCATCTTAGTGTGGGGATGATAAAGATGTCGTTGGCCTTGTACGTTTGTTGTGAGAGTTACTAGTAAATAAGATAACACAAATACAAATGTTTGGTACAGTGACTCATAAGTGCTCATTAAACATTAGGTATGTGTGTGGAACCCATGCATGGGTCCCCCTTATGCTATACACTTATCTGGGATTAGGGAAGTGCCGATCAATGGGCTTTTAATCACCAGTTCTGTGTACCTCTTTCTTATGGTAGAGTACCAGGAACATGGCCAGAAGTGAAGGGATTCTCTTTATACTTAAATTCTGAATCCCAGCTAGCATCAGGGTCCAAGGCAGGGGCTGTGAGGGATGGAAAACGTTTCTTTTGCATCTCACTTTATAACACCAAGTTCCCTTTACCTCACAGAGGGGCACTGTGGACATTTTCAGACAGAGACAATGAGTCACTGTGGAGGCAGCATCAGCATTTTGATTTCCTTCTATCATTTCACTGCGAGAAAACAGGTTATGCACCAACAGATCTGCTGGGAAGGACTGGGTCCCAGCATGACGTGGTGGAAAAAGCTCTGCCGAAGAGTCACAGAGAACAAGTCCTGGTCCTTGAGCTCCTCTTAGGTGTGTCACTGCGAAAAGGGGGTGCCGCTGTCTAGCCTCAGGTTCCTCATCTGTAACTCCGGGCTAATGACCCCCTCTCTCACTACGGCATGGGATTGCTAATACTTAGAAATGCTTTCTACATCGTAAAAGGCTAGGCAAACGGAATGGAGTGTCTTTATTAAAAAGCCATCTCTTTCTACAGAGATCTGGCTGCCTCCAGCAAATGCTACCTTCTGGGTTTCAGAAACAACTTGCAGCAAAGGCTGGGTGCACTTGGAGCGAGTTCCCGGGTGGGAGCAGGGGGCCCAGCTCCAGAGACCCCGAGCGGAATGAGGAGACTCTGAGCTTTATCCCAAGGCAGGGGTCCGCAAATGTTAGCATCAGAATCACTGGAAGGCTGGACCCCATCCCCAGCGTTTCCGAGTCTGTATGTGTCGGGTGGGGCCTGAGACGTGGCATTTCTAACACATACCCAGGTGATGCTGAGCGCTGCCGGTCAGGGGCCACACTCAGAACACTACTGCACTAGAGCAGGGAGGAAGAGGGAGTCTGAACTGAACAGGCACTGTGAAGGTCCACGTGGGTGAGGCGGTCTGGAAGAAAAAAACGTAGAAGACAGAAAAATTGGAATAATGCGCAGAATGGGCAGAACAAAGGGAAAAGTCTCACTCCGTAACCTATGCAAGTAGGGGGAAGTTGCTAGGTGATGGATGAGGGAGAGAGGTGAATTTCCACTGTAGGAAAAAACAGGTGAGAGACAGGAGCACAGAGTTGGAAATAGACATGTTCGGGGAGGTGGAAATTCCTCATTAAGAAGTGAGGGGTGGGGGTGGTGGGCGTCGGGGGGTCCGGGGGAGGGGTGGGAGTGGAGAAATGCCTCTGTAGAGTAAGGGGACAGCTGAGAGGTGGCAGAGGGGGTAATTAATCCCGGGCTTGGTGGTTTGGCTCGGTACTGCAGCATAATAGAAACTGGGAGAAAGGAGGTGGAATTTAGATGTGTGACCTGCCCCGTAGCTTTCTTGCTCTCTGCATTTATCACATCACATCACACCCAGCAAGACAGCCCCCTCCTCCTGGCTCATTAGGAGATTTGGTTCGGCGTGGCTCCTGCTGTCAGCAGCTGTCTGGGGCGAGGTCTTTATGCTCCCTGCTCCCTGAGCGGCAACCAGCCTTCATCGGGCAGCGGAGCTCATTAGAAGGGGGCCCCCTGGACACTGGATTTCATTGGCGGCAGGAAAGAGTTAATGCCTCCGGCTTCGCTGCCCCCTGCACAGCCTCTGGGTGCAGAGGGAGGCAGCTCTGGGCTGTGGGGACTTCTCCCTGAGCTTCAGCCAAAGAAGCAGGGGAGCAGCTTCGCGAAGCTGAGGAGGAAGGTGCGGGAGGAGTGCCAGGCGAGCTCCGCGCAGGGGCACCTCCAGCATCCTGCCAATGAGGATGGGCGTGCAGACTGTGCCCCGGAGCTGAGCCGCCGCCCGCTGGGTGTAGGCTGCTCCAGTATTTATTGGATGTGACAAACAGGGAGAAGAGATTTCAGCGGGGCTGCTCGCTGCCCGGCTCAAGTGGTGGGAGGTGGATTGTGCATGCATGCATGTGGAGATGTGTGTGCGTGCCCGCGTGTGCCTGCGTGTGCATGCACACATGCCCTTCACCCGCCAAGGATTTGACTGCTAAACTGCTAAAAGACAGATCTCCTCTCTCCCCAGAGCTCCTTCACCCGCAGCCTCTCTGACCATCCCGTTGGCAGAGACCCGCAGGCCATGAGGACCGGTCAAAGACAGTGAGTATTGCTTTTGCTTTCTCCTCTCTGGGTGCCCGTGTGGGCTGATTGCATTATCCATATTTAATTAACCTGCCTCTCCATATTGATTGCTTTCTCTCCACCGAGGCTTAGTCTCTCTTCCCCTCTTTATAAATCTTTGCTCTTTGCTTTTAATCTTTTTTTTCCCCACTGAGCATCCTCTGTTTCCATTTTGACCGATCCTGTAGAGTCACCTGTAACTTGATGTCCACCTCAGAGGGCACCCATGCACTGTGGGTGTAATCGCACTGCTGGTTTTCCTGGGCTCTGGGTAACCCCAAACTCTGTCCCCCAAAAGTCAAGGGCCAAATGGGATAAGAGCCCCGAGGTGTTCGGGTGAATGGGGAAGCTGGGGTCAGCGAACCTTGCAGGTCCTCATTCCATGGGCTCCAAGGCTGAGCTCATGGAAGGGGCGGTGGAGGGTCTGAGGCTGGTGGGCACGGCTGGATTTGGAAGAGAGGGAGGCAGGCATGTAAGCAGCTCCAGCAAGCCGGTGTGGGCTAGCGGTGGGAATGGGAAGAGTGACAAGGCAGTGACAGGAGGCCTGGTGATACTTGCCCCAAACGACCTTGCCTCTGCTGTGTGTGTGGGGGTGGGAGAGCCTGGTTCTGCTCAGCTCCAGGGTTGTGGAGGCCCCTGGCCTGGGCTTCCCCCTCCTCTGCGGCTATACCCCACAGTCCAGAGAAAACGAGGCTTAGGTGCCCAGAACAATGATTTCTAGAGATGCTGACAGCTATGAAAGGCTTCGATCTCCTGACTTCTGAGCAAGCAGGTGTACGCACGGTGAGGACCAGGATTAAGGAACTGTTCCTGCTGTCAGGGAACACAGCCCCTGTCATATCCTGGGGATGAGCCTTACACAAAATCGAACTATTTTTTTTATAGTTTTAACAAAGCAATCTCGTTATTTTATTAATTGTGGTTTTATTCGAAAAGGTATTTTAAAAAGTCTTTGTGACATGTTCCTGGTAGTAGCAAAAGAATTTAAGTGGATCTCAGAAGGGCCTTCTCTGTCTAAAGGTTTCTTTTAAAATGGATTCTATGTTTGGTGTCAGGGTTCCCCAGGGGATCCCTTTACGGATAGACTGCTGTCTTCACACGTTTCTTCCTACCAGTTCTCTTCCGTGGGAACAAAGGGCTTGAAGCCCTGAGAATGGGACCCTCGGGAGAGCGAGTTTATCCGTCAATCAGCCCTCAACCTCTGTCCCCTTTCCCTGATGTCCTCCTGCTTCAGGTCGGGGACGGGCCAGTCCGGGGGCTGAGGTGGGCCAGGCAGCTTCCACATGGGGGAGGAGGAGTGACTTGGGTATTCATTTCTTCAGTCTGCGTCTGGGATCCCTGCAAAGGAGCAAGCCTGTGCGGTGACAGTGCCTGGCAGGCTTCCCCTGGAGTTACCCAACCTTCCTCCCGCTCACGCCCTCCCAAGGCTCCCACACTCTCACCTCTGGGACAGGTTCCAACCTTGGAGGGAGGTGAGAATCAGAGCAGTAGCCAATGGACTGTTTCTGGAGCAAGTGCTGTGCTCCCGCCCCCGCCCCCCCCCCCATGATCCCCCCTTGGCTGGCTGGTCACAGGATCCCACTCAAGTAACACAAAGAAAACAGCAATTTTTGGCTCGCCAGGCCCATGCCTTCCTCCCCTGGGGCACGTGCCCCACTTTACTGTTGATGGCCAATAGTTAGGGAGATAGAAACTCCTGACCAGCAGGCAGCAATGTGAACCCACCCAACAATTTTTTCTTGTCCATCCTTGGTTCGTCTCCCTGTCTCGGGACTAGTAGAAGTTTGTGGGGAACGGGGTGTGAGCGGGGAGGTATTCAGTTGGCAGAAAGCCATCAGAAAGGATTTCTAGCACAGTCAGAGAAGAGAGGGTGGCCCCCTCTTACAGCGGATTCTTTGATTTTAGGTGAGAGGACGTGAAAGGGTAAATCCCTGTGCCCCGCAGTCTTATCTCCCGCCCTGACGTCCCTGCACACCGGCCAGAGGGTTAACCATAAGCGGGTGCCTGTATGGCCGCCTTACTGATGCCACGCAGGTAACTGATGCCAACCTGTCTTTTTGCCCCTGCCCCTCTGCTCTTTCTCCACCTGCTCTGCTGTTTGAGCCTCCCAGGGGTAGGCCACTTGTATCCGTCCCCCAGGCCTCCTGTATAGACTGCGCTGTCCTTACCTGAGTGCTTCTTGCAAAGTTATGGCCTTGCAAGCAGAACCTGCTTTAGCACCAAGCTTTCCCATTGACCAGTGGGATTCAATGTGCATGAGCTTGTATTGAACCATCAAGGGACTTCTATGAGTTACTGGGACAGGGGGAGAAGATGAGGGCTAGCCTAGATTTTTTTTTTAATCCTCACCCAAGGATATGCTTAGAGAGAGGAAGGGAGAGAGAGAAACATCGATGTGAAAGAGAAACATCGATCAGTTGCCCTCCACACCTGCCCTGACCAGGTATGTACCCTGATCAGGAATTGAACCGGCAACTTTTTGGTGCACAGGAGGATGCTCAACCGACTGAGCCACTTGGCCAGGCAAGATTTTTTTTGAAAGTAACCTTAACCTCTGATCCTTGCTTCTGCTCCTATTATTTCAGACTGAACTAAAAGATTAGAACTGAGCTCTCAGCTAGACAAGATGGAAAATCAAAACCATTTTGTTCCAAAGAATAAATCGTGGAAGACTTTTTGCAAACTATTGGGAGAATCATTGTTGTCTTGGTAACAAGTAGCACTCTTTACTCTGGCCCCTGCTAACCCTTGTTAGATGGCTTGCATGGATCTGACATTTTTTGGAAATCCTCTTCATTGCTTTTCGGGGGCATGGCCTGGTGTCACAGCAGCCTGTGATTTGTAAGAGTGAGTGGACATGAGACGCTAGAGCAGATGTTTTGAATGCCAGGAAATCCGTGGCTTCACAGTGCACCTGGCTGATGAGAGGTGGGAGCACAGGACGTGCAGGCTCAGTTTTCTGCAGGATAGTGACATTTCTGGGAACTTGGATGTCCCAGCCTTAAAAGACCCTTTCCTCAGAGATGGGCAGTGGAATACGAATGTTGTCCACGCTCGTCAAGTGTAATAACATCCCAGTAGGTGTTTGTTAGGTTTCTGTGAATATTTGCCCGAGAGGTCAAATCCCACTTGAAGTGAAAGGAAGAGATGGAAATGGATGAGCTGTAACATTTCTGCTCAGGCCCAGGATTTGTGAAAAAGAGGGAAGAAACATCAGGCAGGAAGGACTTCCCTTCAACATGGAGAATAACATCTAGGACCGTTTCCAGGGCACATTGTTACAGCGTGTGGTCCTGATCTGATTATACCAACCCCCTGCCACTTACCTTTGCCCTCCATGCGAGGAGTTGCCGGGGTTAAAGTTCGGACATCAGGAAACCTGTTTTGTCAAGGGCCAGAGAGTAAATATTTTCAGCTTTGGGGCCATATAGTCTGTGTTGCAACCACCCAACTCTGCCCTTGTGCTCAAAAGCAGCGTTCCACAATACTAGTATGTAAACAGATGGGAGTTGTTGTGTTCTAATAAAACTTTATTTACACAAACGGGCATCTTCCAGGGCTGACCTCTGGTTGAAGGTAAAAGGGGCTAATGTTGGGAATCAGAAAGAGACACGAACATAATTTCTCATTGGATCCTCCACAATAGATAACTATAATAAAGTGTCTGGACCTTAGGAAAATAAAATGTATGAGAATTCTAAACATGTATGTTAAAATTTTAAGCCTGCTGATTGAGAGCTGCCAAAATACAAATAGGAATAGGAGAGCTTGGTTAAGCAGAGAAAAGAACTGACAAAGGGGACACAGGTTCTTCATGGCCGAGTGTTCCAATCTCCCTTCCTCTCACTGGCAGGCATGGTCCTTGCTGGTCTGTAGCCATTCGTGTATATCCCCAGGGTTGTGGGATGAGAGGGGGAACCCGAGTCCCACTTGACCTGCCTGGACGCCCCAAGCTTTGTGCTCTGAGACCCTGTGAGGTACATTCCTGTATCACGCGAGTGCTCAACCCTCCACTCTGTGTGGGAGCTGCTCTGGGGGCTTTGCAGTCGGGAGCTGTGGCGGCCACAGCTTAGCCCTCTTAATGGAGAGCAAAATGTGGTTTGTTATTTTGTCATCACTGTATTTCCTCTCCCTACAGAGAATCCTAATTTAGAAATTCTTCCAAGCTAACGACCTTCATTGACTTACCATCAACTTGCATGTCAGCTTTAAAAAGCTAGGCCTCTCGGGGAGGGTACCTATTGCTATTTCTGTAGTCGAGATAGGGAGTGAGTATATCCCTTGATCTTCTAGGTTTTTCCTGATCGAGAAATCTTCAACCCACCCCGCCCTGGGGGCAGGGTGGGGTCGGGGAGGTGGTGCTGGCTTCTGCAGCAACAACTCCAGGGGCCCTTTACGGAGCTGACAGCTCTTGTCGTGACAGGCCAGGCCCTTCTTGTTGCAGGAACAAAGGGATGAGGACTCGACTGGGATGCCTGTCTCACAAGTCAGACTCGTGTAGTGATTTCACAGCGATTCTTCCTGACAAGCCCAACCGTGCTCTGAAGTGAGTAGTAATGGCCACGTGGTATCCCGGGCGCCCAGCGTGGGGCTCCCACCGTGTGGCCACAGAACCCGTTCTTCTCTAGTGAGCTGTTGGCCAGATGAACCAAGAGACAATACATTCCTGCCTCCTGGCAGCTCCTTTTAGACACCTGAATGTGAATGACAGAATGGTTATTATCCTTTCCTAATGTATCACTTAGCACACCTTTTTACTCTTTTCACTTTTAAGAAAATCATATTAACCACCACTTTTCTACAGCTGCGGTGGAGGATATTTCTTGGCCCTACTTTGTTGTCAATCTGAGCTCTCGATTTGGAAAGGAACACTCCAATCTATTTGAAAAATCTGCTTAGGTTGAGATAAACTGGATTCAGCACCTCTACCGTGCAGGCCCAGAGTTAAATGATGTCACAGATGTCACCTCATTGAACCCTCCTAGGGTTCCATGATGGGCCTCACTGTCCCCCTTACAGAGGCGAAGAAATTAAGGTGACAGAGAGGGAGTCGGGAGCTCAGCCTAACTTTCCTGACTCCAAGACCAGCTTTTCTCCATGGTGATCTTGACATTTTTAAATCACGCAATGGCTTAGCTTTGTTCTTTAGACTGAAAGCCTTTAGACTGAAATTCCCAGAAGGCCAATCCTGAGATTTCCGCAACCGTTTCTTAGGAATGTAACACATTCCAGTGACAGAATTTCAGGAATCCAGGTATGGTCTTCATTTGCCCTGCGTTGTTCCGATCTGTTCTGCTGGCAGATCTCAGTGGTGGCTAAAGGTGAGAAGGTCATTTCAAAAATAGTCAAGAGAGATGGTTTTTCTTTTCTAGGAGACTTTCCACAGAAGAAGCCACCAGGTGGGCCGATTCCTTTGACGTGCTTCTCTCCCATAAGTGTGAGTAGAATTCGGGTTTCGCGCTGTCTGGGCAAGTCACTCATTTATTTAAACATGCTGCCTACCATGCACCAGGCAGGTGCCGTGCAGCTCCAGCCCCTGCCCGCAGAGCCTCCTGTCTGGAAGGGCGTATGGATCGCAAAACGTAATTTCCATGCAGTGGAAAGAGGGCCTTCTTTTCTGTTTTCTGGGTTGAAAGTTAGGTCCTAAGAAGCCTTTACGTTCTCAGCAGGTTTAGCTAGAAAACTGTGAGCTTAGGGAGTTGGAATGATGGTCCAGCAGGAATGAGAGTCTCTGTTCCATCCCAGATCTCATTTATAGATGAAATGACCTTCCCCCCGGGTCACTGGAGAGCTTGGGTTACTCTCGTCAAATGCAGATCTGGTGCATTTTGTCGTTCGCTGGAGTTGGCAGATTTTTTTCTCATTGTTTTTTATTTTGGGGGGTTTACTACCCCAGCTGCATTGTGCCCCTAGGTTTCTGACTGGGTGCAAGTCTAACTAGAACACACTTCCTTTTCCCCATTTCCTCATCTTTTAAGCCTTGTGTTTCTAACAAAGGCAGACATAGTTGTGGGAAGGGAACCTTGACGTTGGCCCCGCTTTTCAGTCCTGGCTCTTTTCTCACCGTAAACAAGTCCAAGTTCACTAGGCTTTAACATCCAGGTGGCCTTAAATACATGGGAGTGGGAGAGAGAAGGGTCTTTGGAAGAGAAATGGATTCCCACAGACAGTTGATGCTCCTCTTCAATGTGTCTTGTCACCATTAGAAGTCCCGGTGGATCTGGGAGCAGAAGGACTGCTTTTAGTTTAGAGAATTGATTCCAGTGAATTGGGGAACACGGTTTTGTATAGTGATGTGAAGAGCATTGGTTGATAGTCAAACCTATCTTCTCAGTTTTGACCCTGCTCAGCCACTAGATCAGTGCTTCTCAACCTGTGAGTCGCGACCCCTTTGGGGGTCGAACGACCCTTTCACAGGGGTCGCCTAAGACCATCAAAAAACACATATATAATTACATATTGTTTTTGTGATGAATCACTATGCTTTAATTATGTTCAATTTGTAACAATGAAAATACATCCTGCATATCAGGTATTTACATTATGATTCATAACAGTAGCAAAATTACAGTTATGAAGTAGCAATGAAAATAATTTTATGGTTGGGGGTCACCACAACATGAGGAACTGTATTAAAGGGTCGCAGCATTAGGGAGGTTGAGAACCACTCCACTAGATGGTTGAGTGGCCCTGATGGAGTCCCTCAGTCTTCAAAAGATGACTTTACAAGTGATTTTGCTTTCAAGTGGGTGAGCAGTTTCCTCTGCCTGTGTCCATGGTCCTAATGCTTATTAACAAACTAGAGGCCCAATGCACGAAATTCGTGCAAGGGGCTTGGCCCTCACAGCCACAGAGGCTTGCCGACTTCATCCGGAAGGTCGTCTGGAAGGACATCTAGAAGGTCGTTCAGCTGTCCGGTCTAATTAGCATATTACATTTTTATTATTATAGATGCTTCTGAATAGATTTTAAAATGAAATGTGAAATCTCACTAGAAGCACATATTGTAGCAAGTAACTTCGTGAGATCGTCATTTTAGTGTTCTAGGGATTATACTTAGGAAGGAAAATAAAGCAGCATACTACAGCATATATAACATATGGCTGCAGCCCCAAACAGAAGCTTATGTGGTGAATTTGCCAAAGTAATGGCATATGTAGGATAATACTTAAGATTTGACAGTAACACTTGTTGTGTTTTTTTTTTTATGGGGACATTCTGACTTACTTTCTGGAGGCGCATTGGGCTACATGAGTGTCACTATCAATTTACACCTTTTCGGGTTGGATTTGACTCAAGGTCATCTTGAGTCTCGCTTCTATTTCGGATTCATGACTGACTCACTCAGTTCAAGTCCCTGAGGCGCTTTCCTTGTTCTAAAATGGGGCTAGAAGTACCTGTGTGCCGCCCATCACCCAGATATGAGATTCTTCAGAGAAGGACACCTTTGGATAATTTTGGGTTCTCAACTCCAAGGTGTTTTGTAAGAATATGGTGTTTTTAAACATGATGCTTTTAATTATCAAATGCAAAATAAATGTGAGAATAAGGTTGCAAGGTTGCTGCCAATTGAGTCATTAGAGACTGAGTTTGGGTGTAGAATGAGTGGCCGGAAGCTTCAGCTAATTGGGGGCTGCTGCAGTGGCAAGCGCTGGAGATGTAAGAGGTTTGACTTTATTTGCTTGATTCGGGGACTCTTAGAACTGAAGACACTTGGTTCTGCTTTTGTCGGGATGCTTTTGGTTTCCAGGAATTCAATGACACTCTTCTGAAATGAGGACTCCACTAAGGGGCTAGAGGCTGACGCCAGATTGCTTCTTTGGAAAACTACTACGGCAATAGGCTTTGGACTTTGAAGTTCTGTGATCCACCTTGGAGTCCAATGTTCTGTTGTTATTTCTGTGTCGTATGGGAATAAAAAGCCAATGGAGCGAATGTCTTTGAGAAGAAGGGGGTCTCTGTGCAGGGGTCACTGGCAGCACTTTAAGGTTTTAGAACTTGAACACTTACTCCCCGTGAAGGCGGTGGAGGAGTCGGAGCCCAGGTTGCCTTCAAGAGTACTGACAGCTTTCTAAAAGTCTGACTAATTTGGGTTAGTTTTGTGGCTCAATTAGGGCTGATTAGGCTTTTCCAAAGGGACTGTGTGTGTGCTGGTCCCTTAGGAGGGACAGCAGTTGATCAGAGGTATACAGGGCTTTCGATTAAGACAACAAAATGTCCTAAAAAAGTAAAGAAAGGAAAATCGCTGAATGACTGGGGCTCTAGAAAAATGTGTGTTAATCTAGAACCTCCTCTCTGGCAATTCTCCACATCTAAGCAGCTGTCCCTCCTAAGTTTTCTATTTCAGAAAAATTCAAATAATTATTGTTTTTCCCATGCTCCATCTACAGAGCGTCTCTGCCATCCCTGCTTTGCTGGGTATTTTGGGCAGTCATTTGTTTTACAAAAGGTGCATTTGAGTGTTCACTGTGTACAAAATCTATGCCACACAGCTGGTTGGCTGATGAATAGAACAGTCCCTCCCTGGTGGAGAATGCCACTTTCTGAGGAAACAGGCATGCATTCACTCAACACAAGAAATAATACAGTGTGCTGACTGCAGACGGGGGGCCTACAAGACTGCAGATAGGACCCCGACATTCAGTGCCCCTCTTAAAGTCCATCTTGTCCATAATAGAAGTCCTCACTTTTGGGAGCGAAGGGCTGCTTTTAGTTTAGAGCAGTGGTTCTCAACCTGTGGGTTGCGACCCCTTTGGGGGTCGAATGACCCTTTCACAGGGGTCGCCTAAGACCATCCTGCATATCAGATATTTACATCACGATTTATCACAGTAACAACATTACAGTTATGAAGTAGCAACGAAAATAATTTTATGGTTGGGTCACAACATGAGGAACTGTATTTAAAGGGCCAGAAGGTTGAGAACCACTGGTTTAGAGCATTGCTTCCATTTAATCAGGGGACATACTTCCGTACGGTTAGGAAGAACTTGGCTGGTAGTCAGATTTTGACCCAGCCCTGCTACACAACAGCTGGGCAGCCTTGGCAGAATCCCTGCCTCTTGGAAAACCTGTTTCCTCATCTCTACAGTGAAGGAACTGGAGTAGGATGTCTCAGAGGCTGGATTCAGGTCTGCCCCCTGGATCTAGGATGCCGTCTGCAGTAACCATCGAGGCCCGGCAATAACCTGTCCCCTCGGCGGGTGGCTGGAGTCAGTGCTGCCTGCAGGGTCATGTAAAACTGCTTCAAAGCTGAAATGGCTGGAGCAACCGGAAGAGGGTGACCGCACCTGTGTTAGGAAGTCTCCTCTCTCGGTCAGGGTCCCATTGTTCAAATCAACTAATTCCAATTGCAGGGGGTCAAAAAGCAAGTCCGCTAGTTCTTAAATCTGAGAATGAAAAAAAAAATCTGGGAGGCAAATATTTGGAGCAGTTTTATTTCCAATCACATTTGCTGACAATGCAGTATGAAGCTGAAGAAGCGTCCGTAGAGGTTGGGGAGATAATCACTTGCTAAGTGCTCTCTCTCTCTTTTAACTAACAAATGAAAAATGAAATTAAAATTGCTGATGGCTTCATTAGATAGGGAAGGATTTATAATGTGTGTTAATTTGGCATCATTTTCCTGTTCATCCAGTGACAATTAGACTGGGTGTCTAAGTTGGGCACGTAGTCTGCCCCCCAGGGTGTATGTGTGTATGTGTGTGCTCACGTGTGCATGCACAGACACCCAGAATCCTTTCTGCTTCTACAACTCATACCCTGAGTGTGAAGGCTCCCAGACTGTGGGAGATCTTTTCTGACTGGCTGCTGGAGAGCAGGCCCAAAACTGGGCGTCTTCTGCTTTCATTCCTCATGACGTTCCGACACATGCTTGTAATTTGTCCAGCTTTTAGTGCAGGGATGGGGAATGTCTGGCCTGTGGACCCTATGAGGCTCAAGAAATCATTTGGTCTGGCCCTGCCAAGGCAGTAGGGGTGAGTTAATTAAATGTTTGACCAAATATAGCAGGCTAACTTTTAAGCTGATAATTTTGTATGGCCCATGAATTATGTTATAAATATCCAAATGGCCCTTAGCAGAAAAAAGATCCCCCACCCCTGTTTTAGTGGGACATTCAGTCCTTATCTCCAAATCAGCCCTTCCTTCCTTCCTTCCTTCCTTCCTTCCTTCCTTCCTTCCTTCCTTCCTTCCTTCCTTCCTTCCTCTCACTCTCTTCTTCCTTCCTCCATCCCTAGCTCCCTACTTCCTTTGTTTCTTGGACATAAAAGTTGGGATCATTCCACTTTTAAGGTGAAGGTGTAGACAGGGTTCCTTCCCCTTTCCTCTCGCCTCTTTCAGCCCGATCCCACACCTGGATGACAGAGCCCCCTCACCCTGAGCATCTCTTTGGTCCTTAGGTTTGTTTTATTGTTTGCACGGAGCGTGGAGGGTCGA